TTGTTCATCTATTCTTTTTATGACTTTTAATGAAAGAACACTTATGGAAAAAGTTCTACAATTTATGTTTCAAATAGAATCTACTCAAAAGTTCCTTGACTTTTTTGATTTCTGTCTTATACAGATTAACTCGTTTGCGACAATTTGGACGCGACACATTTTACATACAGAAGTGAACGCTAAACGTGACGATAAATTAACGCAAACAATTCGCATCGGATTTTAGAGCAACCTTGTAAACATATTTAATATATAGTTAAAACGTTATGTAATTCATAACGAGTTTGAGGATGATGGAACGCCGAGAAACGAGAAACCTTTGACAGAGAGAAACAGAGTTGTGAACTACGATTCCAGTCAGTAATAAACTGACCCACAAAAATAAACTCCGGAGATAAACTCCTGAACTCAAAAAAAGCAAAAGATTCAGTGGTGTGTCTCGACGCTTAGTTTTTTCATAGGTATCTGTAATCTATGTCATTTCTTGTTTCCGATTATCGATAAGCGACAACGGCCGCAATTCACGCGACGACGCCGCGAAATTTGTATCTATCTCTAGATTCTCAATGAATATACAAATCGCCAAATATTCTAAAGTCCAGAAATACGTACTTTTACATTTTCAATAATAGTGGCAAGATGATAAAGAAACAATATCATCATTCGCGACAATACGATATCGTAGAATAGAAATTCCATTTCATTTCATTTATTTATTTATGTGGGATGCACATAGGTTAAACATGGAGAAAAAAATTGCAGAGGACATGTCCATAAAGTTTCTTTACAACTTCAAAAATTTATTACAAATGCAATTGATGAGACATCTTCATCAGATTTGGTCTCTCTACATAGTGGTTATCAATGTTTTTATCATATTGTTATTTCAGGTGCTTTGCTGATGAATGAGATACTGTATAATGAATCCCTTACAAAATAGCTACTCCTCAAGAGAAAGCAGAGTGTGTATAATGGTTTATTGAAATCAAATCGTATCTGCAGACTCAACGAAACAACAGAACTAAGTATGGAATAGGTCCACAGTCTCGTCCATCAATTCGTGCATGGCACAAGAAATTTATAGCGACAGGGACAGTGCTCGATAAAGGGAGATGTGGACGACCAAGAACATCTGAGGGAAACATCGATCGTAAGAAATCGAGTATCAACTTGATGTGTTTCGTGCAACCAATGGTGCACATATAGAGATGTATTAACTGAGGCAAAAAAAACTGAAATACATACATCTTATTCTGTAATAATTTCACTTATTTGTCTTTTCATTTGCCTTCGTAATAAGTTTTTGAAATTATAAAGAGACTTTACGGATACCCAGTATACTTGAATGAGGAGTGGTGTAGAAAACTGGAACAGAGGATATTCTTTTCTCCTCTTTGAATATAAATAGAGTATAAATATACTATAGAGTATAATAATAGTATAAATATGCTATAAATATACAATAAGGGTATAAATACAGAATGATTGAATGGATTAATGAGCTTTATTTCTGAATGAATTGTTTTTATCTGAGCATACCTCTCGCTGTTCTATGCGTGTAATCAAATTAAAATTAATTTGAAGTTAAAGTCAAATTAATTTCAGATTGAAATTGAAATTGATACAAGCAATTAAATTTTGGAAATTAAATATTAAATGTAAGAATTAAGATATAGATATAATTTTAAATTTAATTGAAGATCTACGTTTCGTTAGGGAACCAATTATGGTCATACCTACTAATGAACAATTTTGATAAAAGAAAACTCTGGTCTAAATCAAATACACTAAATTCATGACAAATTCTTAAAAAAGAACGGAAACATTCACTTTAAACTAAGAAATTTTATTATACTAAATTTACGTAGTAAAATTATTATTTTAATTATTAATTACGTAAATTCTTAATAAATTATTGTTGAGTTTAGTATTAGAATTGTGAAACATCACGCAGCATGAGGTTAAAGAATCAACAAATGAGTAGAAAAAGGTACAATAGAAGTAAAAGCATGTGTATAGTGAAAAGGTAATAGAATGTTATAATATTTGCAATGGTTAGAATTGAAATTAAATTCTGGTATAAAGTTATAAATAATATTTAGCATGGCATATTCTGTTTAAATGATCAGATGCTATAATTTCTTTAATTGTTGAAAAGTGAAAGTCATGAATTGAAGGCAAAAGTGCAAGTCCTACCTAAAAATTCACAACACATACACAAATCGGACAGCTATTGATTTAAATTTTTATTTAAGAACTTCTGGATGATTTCTTCTTTACAGATGAAGTGTGCTTTTTTCCACAAGACTTCAAGTTTAAAAATCAGTCCTCAGAAATATCAATTATCGTTTGAGAATCGTAGGAACTGTATTGCGTATTTCACCGTTGGCGTTGTAATCTTTAATTTAAACTCAATACGTACGAAATGTTAACTCGTAACAAAAAATAAAAAACTCTAGTCTAGATCAAATACACAAAATTCATGAGAAATTCTTAAAGAAAAAATGAAAACATTCATACTAGACTACATGAAAAATTGCCAATACTTTAAACTGTCTTAATTTCATGAAAAAAAATCTAGATCAATTAATTTGATTTTATTTTATAGAGTGAAATCTTCATTTCAACATCTTGAATTTGTTTCGTTTAAAGATATTTATTTTTACATAATGCAAGAAGTGTATAAAAGTAAGAACATTTTTCTTCTCGAAAATTATAAAAATACAAACGTCTCACAGAAGAGAAAAAAGTTTTTAAATCATTGAAAAATTTTTGTTGTGACCGATTAATCAAACGTGAAACATTAAAAATCATTCCTTTACAATGAGTCCTTAAAACTAGCTGTATGATTATTTTTCATTATTTTATCGAACTTTACACATTAACGTTGAACGACAGAAATTGAAGACATCTTAACATTTCATCGTTTAACACTAATAAAATGACAAATTCAATAAAATGGGAAATAAAAATTGTGTAACAAACTTGTTGTAAAGGGTGGTCTCTAATCTTCAAGAGCATGGTTTAATTTAAAAGAAAAAAAAGAAGAAAACCGGATTGAAAAGAGTAAAAGGAAAATTTAATTGATTAAATCAAACGGAAAACGAAATTAATGTTTCGAACGAACAAATCAAGCTTTACAACATCGGTAATGAAGAAAGGCATTTAAAAGTACAGAGAATGAGAGATCAACGTCGTGATAATGTTGATAAATTTAATGAGAGAGTGATAAATTATTCGGAAAATCCGAGTATGCAGGAAAAAGATACATATCTAATATCACATAGATGTTCTTGCTAAATGTTCTACTAAAATCTGTGGTTGTGTAAAAAGAAATATCATAGACAATCACATTTTCCTAGCAATGCCAATTTCTCTATGTATGTTATTATTTGAAAATGTCTTTAATATTATAATATAACAAACACTCTCGCCTGATACACGCGAAAATATGTATTGTCTTGACGCGGTCTATGTTTATGAGTCCTTTACACGTAGTGTTTTTGTACTTGAAATGTCAAAATAAAACCTATTGTTTAACACAGGGCTTCTCAAACTTTTCTATTTGGCGATCCCCTTTATCCAAGCAAATATTTTCGCGATCCTGGGTACAGAGATATAAACGAGGAATTGTGACATTACATTATAAACGAATATATTATGATATATCATAACATTAAATAAATACATTATAAACATATTATAAACGAATCAAAATATTTACTGACAACAAATCATAAAGAAAATTTATTTGGAAATAATTTTTTGAAATTGGAAGTACTTAGAAATTAATATGATAATAAAATGATAATATGAGATTAATAAAATAAATATCTTACAACTTGGGCCTATTTAATACAATTATATTATTGCATAAGTCATCGTCATTGACTATTAGTCAATGATGCTATTTTAAAAAATTGGGCTTAATTATAAATCAATTTTCTTGGCGTTTAACTGCAACGGAATCTGTCACTTCTTAGATATTATTTCCGGTACCAATAAGGGAAAGTTATAAGGCGGTAGCTAGAGGAAGAGAAATGAACTAATTCTGCCTGAGCTATGCATTGGTTCGTGAGTTCCGTTACACACAAAATATTGTGCGAGAGACTTGTAGCCGTTGTAAGACTTTTTGTGTAAATATGGCATTTAAAGCATATTTGATTTTGACATCAACCATCATTACTATTTTTGTCTTATATTTGTTGCGTTTATTGGGAATATACATCCAAAACGGATGACGTCTTTGGATGCCGGTAAGTGCTTGTTTCGTTTGCATAAATAAGTACTATTTTTATTTTAATAAGAGATTAATGATCTGGAATTAATGGTAATTTTTAATACGATTCTGAAGAGAACTATAAATTCGGCCAGTCAATCAGACTGCGTTGTAAAATTCAAGTGGCCCAATGACGATCAGTTGCCGTTCGAAAATATTAATTCGTTCTGTACATCAACGACAATTCTCAATATAAAAGAATTTTAAATTCGGCGTGCGATGCCAGCCAATCACAGCAAAGTGTAAAATTCAACGCACCCGCGACGTCACTGGCCAATTTCAAATATTAACTCGTCTTGTCTTATCTATCGATAATAATTCTTAATATGGTTCGAAAAAGCACTTTCAGTTCGTGTAGCGCCAACCAATCAAAAAATATTTTATTTTTTATTCAGAACAGCACGTAGAAAAAATTCATCTACATTTATGGAAAATCACACTATACGATGATAGACTTCCATAAACAATGTCTATTAAGTTCGCGTTTATTTATTATGGTCATTGTATGTACATACATATGTATGTTTGCTCGTCACTGGATTCAATTCGATAAATAATTTTCGATGAGGAAACAGCAACACTATCCATATTTTCTGATTTCAATTTCCATCACCAACAGCGCTATAGTGTAATACTTGTCTATGTCGATACGGCAGGATGTGATACGATAATGATAAGAGGGTCAGGTGACCCTTAACACATGGGACACGGCCGCAAACAATGGTCACATGGTGCTACATTATGGAACAATAAAGACAGGAAAAGTCAATGCCGTTACGTCATGGGACAGACCAGTAATAAAATATGAATTGTTTAGTAAATTCATGTGCTCTGCCGTTGCTGTATTTTTCATATTTTTCATTAATCTATTGTAGGTATTCCCATTTTCTCATCTACTGCCGGCGATGGTATGCCAGTTAGAATATTTGTCAGCAACTTAGCACGGAGGGTTTGTACACATATGTATATACAGTTAATGCTATACAATATTTTCTTTGATCATGTAAATCTAACGGTAAAATGTTCTTTCTCAGACGACATTCAGAGATCTTATAAAATTATTTTCCAAGTATGGAGAAGTGAAGAGTTGTTTCTTACGAAGAAATCCAAAAAATAGAAAAAACTATGCTCTTGTTACGTTTAATAGTTTAAGTGCAGCTATGAGGTAAATCTTAATTTAAATAAATGCAGGGATGTAACTACAGATAAGAAAACCATACTTTTGACGTTATTCGATGATTTATAGTGCCAGAATCGTTAAAGGAGTAACATTGCACGGTAGAAATTTAATAATTCTGTCAGGTACTCCTTGGCTTGAACGAAAGAGTGTAAAGAATAAACGTAAAAGAAACGTAAGAAAATATAAATCAAAATCTAACAAAGTGTTATATGATGTTATATCCTATGAGGGTTGCAGAGAAAATGAAATTACTATCCACAAATTAAATGACGACTGCCTGTTGCAAATTTTTTCTCAATTGCCACTTATGGATAGGATCAGATTAGAAAGAGGTAAGTACATACATTTTTGTTCTCACAGTATTAATATTGTTTTGAAATATATAAAGTAGATATTTATGTATATTTATGTAAGTGTACACAGAATCTTTTCAACAATTGTAGTGTGCAAGAGATGGAAAGCATTAATTAAAAAATCCTGGTATAATATAAAAAGACTGGATTTACGGTATTCCATGTGGGGCTCTTTAGCTGACACAGACACAAGAGAAATTAGTTTAACTGTGCTTCGTAACATATTATTCCGATGTGGTTCATATTTAAATGAAGTCGATTTGTCCTTTGTGCCGTATTATTTACATCAAGATACTGTAATGGTCATCGGAGATTTGTGCCGTAATTTAAAAATATTAAATATCACTGGTGTTTGCGTTTCGCAGGCTGGTATCCGTTCATTCAATAGCTGCCGTAATATTACAAAATTAAGTGTTGGTTATGTCACTTACCCTTGCGATATTGATCTAAAAGTATTATTCCAAATGAATCCAAATTTACGATATTTTGAAGCCTATCTTACTTCAATAACTGGACGGTGCTTGTTGCATTTACCAATGGACACAATAGAAGAAATCGTTCTAGACTGTTGTCTATATCTTGAAGAAATCTTTGTATTGGAGGTGAAGCTTTTAATTTACTTTCACCGTCTTTCAGAAAGATTGATCGAGTAATTAATATTTTTCAGATAATTATCAAACTAAAAAGAATAAAAGCGTTTACGATGAATGAATGTAATTGTATATCCGGTAACATCTTTCGATTTCTCGGCACATATTGTAAGAATTTAGAAAAACTAAAAATTTGTCATGTTCCATCTACATCATATTTCCGAACGACAGACACATTACATATTACGCGATTATCCAATCTCAAAGCTCTGACAGTCAGTAAGAACAGTATAATAACGGACGAATTTCTTTCTCATCTGGTAACAACATGCCAGAATCTCACATATCTAGACATTTCCAGTAAGTCAGATATCATACGAAAGTAATTCATTATATAATAATTTACTCAATTTCTCGTCTGTTGCAGGATGTTCTGGTATTTCAAACCATGGCATGAACGCTATAGCAACTCTTTGCGAGTTAGAAGTGTTAATAATGAACAACATGTTAGGAGTGACTAAAGTGCACCTATTTGGCGCATCCAATTTAAAAAGAATAGAATGTCGCCGTTCGAAATTTATAGATAGAGTGATAATTAATCTTATTAAGTCCGCGCCGCAATTGGGGGTGCTAGATTTATCAGAATCCCCATATATTACTAATAGAACATTAGTGGAAGCTGCCAGGATTACGGCCAGACGAACCAACAATATTATTTTAAAAATATTCGTAGGCGGTACCCCAATGAATCTTAGTACTTTTAAAAACATATCACCGTTTTTAAAAATAGCAACCTCACTGTAACATTTCCACTTGTACGGTAATATTTGTAAATACTTATTGTGTAATTGTACTATGTAAATATGTTAACGAATACTTTAAAGTGTTAAAAAAATGAGAATAACTTTGACTTAGACATGTTTATTTGCACTAACTTTAGAGACGTAAATCTGATAGTACTTATGTCGGTAGACAAACTTTGTGAATGATTTTGCAGAAAATTTACTAAACGGAAAAAAAAGGGATGATAGATAGTAGTGCGATAATATTATCTATAAACGAAGCACGTTATTATTATTTTATACCATGATAATTAGTATTACCATTACTAGTATTACCAGTAAATTTTAACAAACAACAAAATTTTTCCATCACAATTAAATTTAAGAATTTAAAGTTCTGTCTAAATGAAAATATACTATCTAAGTTCTGTCTAAATCATATTAGTATTAATGAAAGCGAATATTTTAATACTTTGTATTATAAGAAATAAATAAATTTATATTTTTATAAATAATTTTATTTTTATAAATAATTCTATTTTATATAGTAAACATATTTTATTAACGTCCGGATTTCAACACACGAGAAGTATACTTCAATAAATGAATTATTCTTAAAATGATAAATTTATTCTTTAAAATTACAACATTTAGACAGTGAATCTATGTAGCGATAATTATTATGCACAAATTTGCAACAAGGAATATCCATATATTTCGTATATGCTCCAGAAGTAATTGTATACCTCTTTGACAATTGAAATTCATTGTTCAGTGGAGAGAATCTTTTCTTTTTTGCGGTTGTATATCATAAGTATCTTATACTACTACATAATTCTCTTAACAGAACTTTTGTCGAAAGAATGTGTCATTCT